AGACACTGAAGTCTTAGTTCTATATGTAAACTTCAGTCTGTGGAAACAGCTCAAATGACAGGATTAGTTTTTAGAGGAAAAAAAAAAAAGACAAAGATGAATTTACTTTGCTTTTACTTGAAGATAATTTTAAAAGGTTTGTAGACTTTACATGAAACTGAGTTACTTCTTTGAAAACACTTGGTTTTGTTTATACCAAAAATAGATAAATAAAAATTAAAATTAAGAAACTTTTGAATATCCTATAATTAATTAGAAGTTTTGCCCTATGGTACTGAGTGAATTTTGTAATAGTTTAAAATTTTCAGTGTCGTATGCTTTATATACAGTAAAATATATTTTCAGTGTTCAATTGGGTCATTTTTGAATATTCATATAAGTATAAAAGTCTACTTGTGCCCCTTCCCAGTTAAACCTTCCCACTGATGGAAGCTAGTATGTGATCTGGATCTTATTTTTATCACTATAAATTAATTTTTCTCTTCTAGAATGTCATGTTAATAGAACTATATTTTTAGTGTGTCATTCTTTCACCAAAGTTAATGAAGTTTAAGATTTGTCCATGTTCTTGGTGTTGTGTCCTGGATGGCTTTGACTCTTCTAGTGAGGCTTTAGAAACATGAGTTCACAGGCCACAACCCAATTCCCCTTTTCTCTCCCTACTTTTCAGGCCCTTTTTGTTAGATAAGTATACCTTTCTCTCCTACCAAAAAATAGCAAGCCTAACTCCAAGAGCTCTGTGTCCCTAGCTCCCACAGTTTATTCTTTGTACAATGCTGATTTTGTTTCCCTCCAAAACTTAAGTTAGTTGATTGGGTCTCAGTCACAAAGCATTCCACCATCCAGTGAAGTCCTATATTCATTAGTTTAAACCCTCTTCTACAGTTCATTGTAAATATCGCCTTCCTGAGCACACGTGAGCACACACACTCATCCACATTGTATCAGTAGTTTGTTACTTGTTACTGCTGAGTAGTGTTCCATTGTATGAATATTTTGTAATAATTTTAAGAGGTGGAAATATTTCATGGCCAAGAAAAATAGTTCACCAAATAAAAGCAGAAAATTGGCTGGAAAATGAAAGAAATTGCAAAATACTATGATACATTAAAAAGGCTATGAAGCTGCTAGCAGACTTCAATAAGCAAAATTGAAAGCGTACTAAGGCTCCAAGCTGAAGCTGACCACACAGTGCTTATTTTTCTGTCCCTAAGTTTCTCACCAGAGACAAACACCTTGCATTGTTCTGTTAGTTTACCACTGGCTACCTGTGCCTTGACCCACTGACTTGCTTATTGAAAAGCTGTGTTTCACATTTGGCATGGTTATTATTTGGTTTGCTTCAACAAGCTGTATGTGTATATGTACTGAATATTAATATCACTGAGTGCTTTTTGTTTTTTTACTTGTTTAGCTATTCTAGCCCTTCTTCCCTCCTTCCCTTTTTTCCTCCCACCCTCCCTCCATCCAGTTGTATTTATTTACTTTGGCTACTTAGAGTCCTTATATATCCCTCCCCTCTCCTCCCCTTTCCTCCCCTTCTTTCTATTTTTTTTTAACTCTTTGGAGATTGAACCCAGGGCCTTCTCACTGAGCTGTATCCCCAGCCTTTTTTTAAAAAAAATTTTTTGAGACAGGGTCTTGCTAAATTGCCCCGGCTGACCTCAAATTTAAAATCGACCTGCCTCAGCATCCCAGAGTGCTGAGGTTACATTCATGTGCCTCCATGCTCAGCTGGATTATTTTCTTTCTTTCTTTCCTTCCTTTCGTTCCTCCCTCCCCTCCCCTCCCCTCCCTTCCTTACCAGGGTTGGAACTTGGGACCTTGTGCTTGAGAGGCAGGCAGCGGAACCTCTGAGCTAAATCCCCAGCCAATTATTTATATACTTTACTGGTTTATGGATCTGAAATCTGATTGTTGGTATATGATAAAACAGTAGAAATCTTTTAGGTAGTAAGAATTAAGGTGTTCTACCTTCGTTGTCCTTTGGAAGGTTTTCTGTGCTCTGATTTCTCTAGCCACCAAGAGAAGGCAGAGGAAATCAGCGCAC